TGCGGTTCAAAAGCCAGATGTGCAATAAATGAGAGGAGCAATCTCGATGCAGCAAACAAGGAGGACCAGCTCCGATGGTTTCAGGTAAATATTCCCTAGTCATTGTCTGTTCGGCGTCTCCAATTCCTTCTCTTCGTTTCTCTTATTGCTCTGAAATTCTTAACTAACACGCCTGGCGCCCTCCTTTCTCAGTACCGTGACATTCAGCCGGCGGAAACAGAGCACATGCTTCAGATCTGGCATGTCCTGAAATCTTTACTGTTACAGCATTCTGCCCTAAAACAGACACGGAGGCCAGGACCGGACAGGCATGCTCGTGTGGAGTTCATCTCGTATACTCATCGCGGCCGCATGCTAAAGCTTCACGCAGAAGGAAATGTCATTGGATTCATGAAACGCGGATTGGGAGAAATCCAGCAATATCTGACGGGGCTAATAAACACGGGGCATCCGTTTTGGGATGGATCCAGTATTGACAGGTTTTTCGAGGAAGCTTGCGTAGAATGGCAAGACAAGTAAATTGAATGGCAGGGATGCTGCAGCCCTGTAGTCCGTTATACTTTCCGTGTTGATTCACTATACCTATATATCAACCCTATTATACTTCTATATTCGCGAACTAAACTGAACGAAACAGCTTAGCACTTTCATCCGAGGGCCTATTTATCTGAAGGCATACTTGAAGGGCCTGCTTAAAGGGCCTGCTTAAAAGGCCTGCTTGAAGTTAGGATCTGAGGTACACACCTAGAGCAGGCAGATTCAATCCACAGCATCTTCTCATTCGTGCCTGTCCTCACTCAACAAAGTGGTATGATAAAAACAGTCTCCTGCCTCGGCCTACTCTACGTGACAATCAATATCTTCCTCGATTCAAACAAGAATTACCTAGATCCAAGCAATCTTTGAAAGGATTGCTGTCGAGCTTCTGCCTCCGCTTCCGTCCCTCATACTAGTCACAAGGTGCTCTATACTCGCCAAATTCATCAGCGGTGGGAAGTCAATAATTGTTCAACAGCCGGTTTTGGACCGAGAACCCTTCAGTGGTGTTGCTTTTTCACGAGCATGATAAACCTGGCTTTAGCTCCAGGGCCTAATATAGCCACACAGCTACTCAAAGGCACAAACCCTACCCCAGCGCAACTCTATTTGTCCTCCCAATTATATCGTATTTTGTCACCTCCGTGCCTGCCTCGGGATGGATTTTCTTGAATGACTCCTCGCCATACTTGGAAGTCCCAAAATTAAATAGCCTGGTGGTTGCCAGCGAGAGCCAAGCCAGGCATCAGCTTTCTAACGGCTTAAGTAAACCGAGGTATCGTGGCTTTTAGTCACGGCTCAGCGTGAGGATTCTATGGTATCATTCTTACTAGAACGCCACACGAAAACATCTTAAAATCTGTCAGCCGAGAGCATTGGCAATTATATGCCATCAACATCGTTGACCCCGATGATGCCAACAAAGGAGTTGTTCGTTTCAGCCAGCCTCCGCCAAAGGAAAGGCGACGGCTTGCACACTCATCAAGAACCCCAACGGCTCAGTGCCCAGTCCCCATCCAGAAGCAAAGTCAAAGTCGGCGCGGAGAACTTCAGTATACTGGAGGGCTGCCGAAGTAAGCCTCTGCCACTCACGCCAAATTCCGCATGGCAATTACGGTCATTCGAATCTCAAGACGACCAAGAAGGCTTCCCCTCATCTTGGAATGCTATTACTCTAGCAGATAATATCCACGGCGTGTTTGCGGATGAAATTGAGCTTCAAGATCTATGCCAGCCATGCTTTCCAGATACGGAAGCGCCTCTGGAATGCGACGATGCTGGAAACGAGTCTGAGAGTCGGCCACTACTTACAACAGCACGTAGATACAAGACCAAAAGCCACCGTAGCTCGTCACGGTACAGCAAGACATCAATGCGGATGTACTGCAGGGTAGAGGCCACAGCTCTAGGACGATCGCAGCGCAGTGTCTTCGCGTCCCTCCCATTGTCTCTCCCATTCTCGTCCTTCCGCATGACGCGGGGTATCAGAAAGTTGTTTTCGGGATACAATCGACTGTGCAACGTTTCAAAACCCAGGTGCATTAATGAACATGACTTTTGGCTATTGTTGAAAAGATTCTTCGGCCTGGTGCCACTTCCGCCATCGCTTTCGGGGCTTTTCCCTGCCAATGATGAGATCCCCTACCTCAAAGATTATTTAAGATCCAAACCAGTCCCGGTACAGCATAGCGACAGTAGAGATAGCGATAGAAACCTGGTCAAAATCTGCACGAGGTTGGCAGAGTGGGTTTTCCATCCCCAGTCACCAGCTACAGATTGGGAGATGTTCCAGGGATTTGGGCTTGTTCATCGATTTTGCAACGAAATGGAGTGCAGAGAGCTGGATCCCTCGAAATTGACGGTCCAAACAGCGTGGCTTCGGGTAAATTCTGCCTTTTGTGCACACTTTCAAAGCATCGGTACTAACGCACATCCAGAAACATAATATTTCTTTCCGGAAAGGCCAATGTATGTTGCAGGTTTGGGAGACTTTGCGGTATTTGCTGTTAAAGAAAAAGCATTTTGATCCGACGCAGATAATAAGGGGCGGGCTCCATCAAGTATACTTGGCGCTCTTGACCCCGGGGCTCAATGCCGACGGTCGCTCCGGTAGCACACCGGCCACTTCTCCAAAAGGACTGTCGCGATAAGGTGGGCGACATGCGTAGGTTCTGAGCCACTGACTCTATTGGTGATCTTTCCCCCGGCGCGCTGTTCGTAGTTCAAAATTTCCTCATTTTTCATTCAGTGTCCAGCTTCACCTGACATAATCTATCTGCTACTGTAGCTTCTACTCTCTGACGAATCTGATGTAAACGTTCTTCAGTAAAAAAAGATTGGCATAATTACTGCATGATGATATCTCTTCGAGTCATCACTTTTCCTCCCAACCAGTAAACGTTTGGACCGGGTCTTTCCTATTAGCGCTCCAAATTTGGAACACGCAGGCTGTCGAGCCTTCACATACGGAGAAACATCCTGGCTTGGCTACATTATCACACATTTTCTTCCTTGTGCATATGCTCATAATAGGCATTTTGGCAGTGTAGGACGACCCCAGCACATGAGTGGAGTGGTGTGCGCTTCTCAACGTCTCCGGCACATGAGCATTGAACCAAAGTTGGATTGACGTTGAAGAGCATAGACCATGGTCTCGGTGCCGCCCGTGGCATTCACAAACCTAGCTTGTCAGTGGAAAGATTGTAATAGACCAAAAGTGGGCGTCTCATCATGTGCCACTTTTGAACGGTGCGTTTGGGGCCAGGGATGCAAGATGTAACCTAGTACACAAACAAAGTCGCAATTCCCCCACTGTCAACAAAGAAACTTATCAAGTCGAGTGTACAGTCAGGGCATTCCATTCCAACCTCGATTTCTTCGCAGACACGCTGAAGCTCAATCAATCATCCTGATGGCATTTCCAGGCAACGGCATCCCACATGTTGTGGTTACAAGCCCTGGTCCCGAACGCCTGGTTTTAGAAATTATTTGCCCGAGGCTCCGACCATGTATGACATGTGCAATGAAACAAGTTGAGCCTCCAAGGTACCCACGTCTCATTGGGTATTGTCGAAGGAGATGGGTCGGACGCAGAGAGGCACGAGGCTCCTTGCTCTCTCGCTTCGGACCGTCGATACGAGACTGTCGATAAAACAGGTCAGTCCCAAGTGAAGCCAGAAGATCTTACGCTATGACCCATGCGATACTTGGACTGACCGTTACTTTGGATACTCGACCGTTTCCAGGTTCCAATTTACTTCAATGTTAGTTTTGATGCGGGGATTTCCTCCTCCAATCAACTGGCCAGTTCTGCACGATCGCATGTCGAACTCAATTACAAGACGGGGCTTTGTGTAATTGTTAACCAATATTATGAGCTATTATTCTAACCCTGTGGTACAATGTAGTAATTTATTTCCGTGATTTTTTGGAGATCGGTTTCCCAGGACGAGTCAACTGGCCAGTTCTGCACGATCACACTTCCAACCCCATTGCAGGAAGTGGCTTTGTAGATTCATGAATGGATACTTTCAGCTACCATCCTCACTTTGCGCTTCATGTTAGATTTATTGAACTATCAGTTTTGAAGTATTGGTTTCTGAATTGGCCTATCGCCAGCCAACTGGCCAATTTAAATCATCCAACCTCTGCCCCCATTTCCACAAAGTGGCAAAAGATAATGTATATTTTTGCTTTCAAATAATCTGAACTGCTATCATGGCTTTTTCACCGAATGAACACTGCTGTATGCCTCAACTCAGGTTCTGAACCGCATGTAGGGCTACCATGTAGAATATGCATGGCCATATTATTAGTCATCATCCAAGCAAATTACCTAATTTGTGAAGGAAGCCAAGTGGGCACAAGAACTTGTGAACAATACCCACGGGTAGGGGACAAGTTCGGGAATAGGTAGGAGAGACGTTCTTGCTAAACCCCCACAGCGACTGAATGAACTTCGTGTATGCGAAGCGGTCGGGCGGCAAACGAACCGAAGAATACGGAAGGAACATTGCAATTTTACAAGAGATCAGATACTGCTAGACGCCTAGCGGCTCATTTGGAACTGTATTGGGAGCCAACCACATCAACCGTGGCGGGCGAACCCGAATAATCACTTGGAGATATGGTGTATTGTAGACCATATTGCGGCGCAAGATCCCATCCCGCACGGCACCCAGATCATCACGCCCCATTTGATGCGAACAAACATCCTCATGAAATGTATCAACTCGTCCCCAGATAGGACGCGGTGGAAAGTGCGAGGGAGAGAATCCAGTGATATGAAGTTCCACCCACTCCATCCAGAATACACCTAACTGCTCCCTGATATACTCAAAAATATCTGCTATCCCCGTTGAGACCCCCATCACATCTGGACCCTCCCATTGAGTAAATGGAGACGATGGGGAGGTGGCCACGAGGATGAAATGCTTGGCTGAGCGTAAGCGATATGAGTTTGTTCAATGGGTCTGACCACCTACACCAGGAATGGATCCCTGACCTCCCCCGCTCTTCTGAAGCCATTTCGGGACGAACGGTTGCGCACTTACGACCGGTGCCTTATGCGTGGGCTGCATCCGGGCCTGTTGTGCTTCCCCTGGCTCTTCTTTGATTACCGGCCGTTGGGTGAGACCTGGCGAGGACCGGGAGTTGACGGGTGGCCGGCTGCTGAAAATATCTTTTTTTCCACATATCTCAGAAGCCTCACATGAGAGACTACTGATGGGAGAAGCAGACTGGTTGCTTTTGCAGCATGTGGATGGCATCTTGGAGGTGGTCGTTCCTTGGCCTTCGCTGAGGATCCTTGGCACAAATACGCATGCGTATACAGGAGTATGCCCAAGGAAATATTTTTGAACATCATGGGGGCTACGTCACATGTTTATATACATGTACATATTTCGTGTCACTGACTCAATACCCAACGGCTATCCACCAACGCGAAGATCATAGTGGATTTGCTGGGGCATGTCTCAGTTTTCAATCTTAATGGGGATGCATCTATAGAAATAATGCATGTACGCCCTCTGCTGATGCCAGAGAGACGTGGTTCACAAGTATGTATTCTGTATTGTTTGCAATAGTAACGTACTCGACGTGAAGCATTATCGTTGTGAGCCAATCTTCAGTCAGTCTAGCTGTCTGGATCCGAAGTACCTAGCGCAGCATGCGCATCAGAGTGAGCGGCATGTCGATAGCGCAGGTGTGGCGGGTCAATGAAAACCAAACAACAAACTCTCATCGGTTTTAGTACGATTGCTTCACTGGTATGCTGGTGTAATGCTTGGCTCATCCAATTTAAGCTAAGCATAACCCGGCGTCCCAGATAGCGATATTGATGCATTGCATAAATGTAATGAGCCTGAAGTGCCAGCCTGGTCTTGGGCGACATACATGTTCTATGGGTCAGGAGCTGAGCTTTGCTCCGTGGGTCAGTCTTCCGAGTACCTCTCAGCCCCAGACGATCTCTCGCAGAGATCGGAAAATCCTACGGTATCTGGGGTTTGAAAATGATGCAAGGGTCACATGTGCGATTATTGAGTCAGAGGGCTAGCTGCTTGTGGGTGCTCATTACAGTGAGGATGGACGTCCAAGGATGCCAAGGGACGGATGGTGATTCGGGGGTTATGGAGAGCGTACTGTAGCTTAGAGCATGACTCATTCATATGCTCTGAGAGATCACATACCAATTCGCTCTGGAATCCGTGAGAGTGATCCCCACGTCTTTAGCCCAGCTATTTCCGCGGCGGAACTCTTGATCTCCTCTGTGACGTGTAGGCATCCGGAGCATGACTGATCGTAGTACTTCTATTCATGGGTTCTCGATGGAAAATTTTAAGCAAGTACCAGTATTACCATTTTCTGTCTATCTCTCAGCTGCAGTGCTAGCGAGACGTTGAACCATGTGGGATGTCAAGTAGAAGTAGAAGTAATCTGATAGTTGAGACGAAAAGCCAGAAGACTGCCCATTCCAGATGCTTGCATATGTTCCAATGCAGACATTCACGAAAGCACATGAATCGTCATTGTCTGTTCAATACTATAATCATTGATGTCGGACAACAAAGTCCAAAGACGTAAGCATTGCCATTCTGTCCCAATTTCGAATGTCTATCTACTCTAAATATAGGAACACACTGTAATCCGGAATAGTACGTGAAGAGCATATACTTACTCGCTGGAAAGTTCTTTCTGTCAGGGCAAATCCTGTTTAGACATGCTGCCTGAAGTATCGCTTTGACAATTGAAATTGTTCCTTCGGCGGCTATCTCGAGCACTGCAGCAGCCACTTTCACTTAAGAGTAACAAGACAAAATGCGTAAGTTCAGAATTCAATCCTCAGCACGACTGTTGACTACACGATCTTTCCTCGCTCCAAGTCAACCATTCTGTTGTCAATGAAGGAACGACTGCTTGTGATGAGTGAAAGATGACGCATGTAGACCACCCACAAATACGATGCTCTTACGTGCTATATCAAGTGACTTTACCAATTATTTACCCAAGTGCAGGACATCGGCTTCGTTCTTGACTAAGCAAATCATATTCACCATGCTGTAGTCACGTCAAGATTGGACAAGGTACCTGCATATATGAACAACACAAGGCGTCCTGGTCGGGTGTAAATTACCTTGAGTGGAAGTTGAAGCTGAGGACCAGTAGCACATTCATATTTGACTTGCGAGACGCTTGCCTCACGATTGATGTTTGGTTCAATCAGATGGAGAATATTGCGCCGACATGCAATAAAGCGCTGCTCAAGTTCCTGGACCATCATATTCGTTGGACAATTTACCAGAACATACAGAGTGCAAAGTCTGTTAGTCACGGCTGGGCTTGCGGAACTCAAGACTTTCAATTTTTAAAATGTCATATCGTCCGAGCTTTGCAACTGGAGGACCAGTCTGACATGCTCCATTGTAGTGAATTTACCGGCACGCTTCTCACAATAATGTGTGGGGACGAACAAAGGTCTCAGGCTCTCATTTTGTCTACTTTGATAATTTTCATATATAATAGCTCTAACAGAATACAGTCATATCGCCAACTCAGATTTGGATAATACGTTAGCTTCGTGACTCAAGTCCTAGCATGACCAGCAGAAAAAACATGGTGAATTATCAAGTCATACGATCACTAATGATTATGTGATTGAGGTAAGCGTGAATTTTTGAATTGCTATTCAACCAAAAGGTGACACTCTCTCGAGGCCCTTCCGTAAGATTTCCATGAAGCTCAATACTCCTGAGCATGTTACCCTTTTCCCCCCAGTAGTTTTCTTTTTCTCTGTTCTATTTCCTGTTTCGTGGTTCCGCAACAACTCAATACCTGGCAGATTCTGTGATGTTCATTTTCGGACGTTTTCAGAGCAGATGGATCAAGTTGAGCAGCAAGAATTGAAGAAACTCGTCGAGGCCTTGCACGCGGCACTTTGCGCAGGCCCATATCATGATGTTGCTTCCAATACGATCATTCATCTTTATTTGAAGAACCTCGGGTTTTGGAACCGCCGCTTCGCCATTCATTGCCAGTCGCTGGAGGATATGAGAAACTGCGAGGCAGAACTTCAAGACAAGAGGTGTAGAGCCAGTAGACAGGAGAAGGAGAAACAGCGGAAACATCAAGTATCGCAGATCGCTTCGATCAACACAGAATGTGAAGCCGGTAGTGAAATACCTCCCTGTCACTTTGGTTACTCTTACTGAGTCTCACAGCGGAAAGATTATCACGCATCATGGAGGGCGCCCTGGGAACACGCGCACAACTTCTTCGCCATCGGGGTTTCACGTTATCCTTCCAAGTTGATGGAGGCGACCGCAGCGAAGTAGGTGACTCGAGAGGCTTAGTAAAAGGTATACAGAGGCATCTGGCTCACTGGGAGCCATGGTGGATGAGTTTAGAGAACTATTTGAAATTCACCCACCAAGATTTGAAACTGGAGATGGGTTTCTTTCGATGTCTTTGGGATCCTTCTAGCGCTACCAGCCGTCGCTCCGGGATCAAAAGTTAGTTTGAATCATTCTCGCCTGCAACCCATCCGTTACCCAGGCTGACAGGCTCGTGCGCTATTCCATTAGTTTTCGGTATTCTCGAGCAGCGATTAAAGCGGTTATCAGGAGAACAATCAAACGGCCTGGATGCCCTGAAGAGTGCATGCTCCCCTGGAGATGCACGCCGTACCCATATACAGAGTTGTATGCTATGTGCCCCATTTTCTCAGTTCAAGGCCCTTCTGAAAACTGTAGCTAATTGCTCAAAAAAGTGCTATCCAGCCGTGTTCAGGCAATGCGAGACCTGTCACAGTTGCTGCGTCTTCTGCGTGAGGTATCAAAGCCTGGAAACCCAGAACGGGTACTAAGAAAGAGAAAAAGGACTATGTAAATTTTCACACTGTATATATATACTAGCCTTCTTGAGGCTCAGTCTGTCCGAGTCATGAACACCATCGCAACAACTCTCCGACCGCATAGACTAGCTCCGTTAGTAAATGGGGAAGCCGCTGAACGAGTGATTTCTTCACTAGTGCCAGCATTTGCGTCAGAAGCTTAGACCTGGTCATGCATTCGTGGACACCTTTAAATCTAGGCGGTTAGTCCAGCAACGAACCACTGTTTTATATATTTTCTAGCGCTAATAGAAACCCGCGACGGGTGGATAAAATTCAATCACAGTAGCTGGTTAAAACGGTCTGGAAGCCCGGAAAATGAATGGATAGCTGTTTACGCAGAAGAGCGATACAATTATCAATTAGTCAGTTACTGTAATAAGCATATTTCCGAAAAATAACATGAGCTTCCTTGCTTTCGTCTATTATAAGTTACAAGCACTGTGTCGAGGCGGACAGCTTACTTTGCAAATTTGACCCTACATAGCGCCCCCTCTAGCATTTCCAACGACCTTTAATGTTCTTATAGTTACTCTATCGGCCCACGGGAATTCCAAAGATTATTACGTCTCGGCAACGATCTCTTAGTTGACGGGAATCGGGAAGCTACAAGTAAACATGACACGGGTCAGGTTCGCAAAGTAAAGCCAAACCAGTCCGGTTGGCTGATGAGTGAATAGAGCAATATGTTTACTCTACCTTTTTCGAGACAGGAATATTCGACTCAATGACCATATCTTGTAATTCCTTTTGCATCAATGCCAACGTATCTCGTCCAGCACTCTGGTTTGTACTGAGCCAACTCATGATCGCGAAGATCTTGGCCTGAAATTTGTTCTTTTGTTCATTGGACAATGGTGACTTGCCCTCCGTGATAGCGCTGTTAAGAGCATAGGAGTGGGATTCAAGGTTACGCATGGCTTGGAGACGGGCAATCTCAGCCTCGTCATCCTCCTGATACTTTTTAGCCTCTAGAAGCATATGCTCAATCTCCATCTCATTGAGACGGCCTTTGTCGTAAGATACCGTGACCCGACAGGGCTTATCGGGTCCTTTCTCGATTGCAGAAACGTTCATAATACCGTTGGCATCCATGGTAAACGTGACTCCAATCTGGGCTCCACCAAATGGAGCTTTGGTCTCTCTACAGAGTTTGAAGTTGCCTAGCAATCTGCTGTTCTTGATACTGGATTGCTCGCCCTCGAAAACCTGTATCAAGATAGTGGGGTGGATGCCGGAGAAAATCGAGAAAGTCCCGGATTTTGAAGTGGGAATGGTAGTGTTACGCTTGATCAGCGACTTATCACAGTCCGCTGTTTTAATCCAGAGGGGAAATGGAGCCACCTCAAGAAGTAGAATGCTTTGGGTGGATTTAAAGGAGGAATCGCCGGACAGAATAGCAGCCTGGACAGCGGCACCATGTGTGACGGCCTCATCGGAGTTCACCGATTGGTCTGCCTCTTTTTGGCAGAAGAAGTCGGAAATGAGCGCCTGTATCTTGGGGATTCGCGTGCAGCCGCCGACCAGAACAATCTCATGGACGAATTGCTTGTCAGTCTTTGCATCCCGGAGGACCTGCTCGACAAGCTTCATGGCACGGCGGAAGAGGCCATGGCAGAGAGTCTCAAAATGCTTGCGGGTGAGAAAGGTGTTGAAATCAATCCCGTCGAGAAGGGAGTCGATCTCGATGGCTGCTTGGGTGGTCGATGACAGCGTCCGCTTGGCGCGCTCACAGGCCATGCGGAGGCGCTGGAGGGCTTGGGAATCGGTAGTCAGATCTCTGTTGTGCTGACGCTGGAACTCGCTGGCAAAGTGATTGACGAGGCAAGTGTCAAAGTCCTCGCCACCAAGGTGAGTATCACCAGCGGTAGCTTGGACCGCAAAGATCCCGTCTTCGATCGCTAAGAGCGACACGTCGAAAGTTCCACCGCCCATATCGAAAACAAGAATGTGGTGCTCCTCAGGTATCTTTTTGTTGAGGCCATAGGCGACCGCTGCGGCAGTGGGCTCGTTCAAGATTCGGAGGATATTGAGACCAGCAATGAGCCCGGCGTCTTTGGTGGCCTGCCGCTGGGAGTTGCTGAAAGACGCAGGGACTGTTACCACGGCGTCGGTGACAGATTCACCCAGATAAGCCTCCGCGGCATCACGAAGCTTGGCAAGAATCATGGACGATATCTCTTCGGGCGTGAAATGCCTAGTCGTACCTTTGAAGCTGACCTCCACAACGGGCATCGAGTCTTGGTCGATAACCTTGAAAGGCCAGTGCTGCATATCAGCCTGGATCTCGGGGTCGTGAAAGCGTCGGCCGATGAGACGCTTGGCATTGAAAACGGTGTTCTGCGCGTTCATCGGAAGTAGGCTGCTTGTAGCGTCCCCAATCAGGCGCTGACTGTCCTTGAAGGCTACCAATGAAGGGGTGATACGGCTTCCCTGGTCATTTACAATGATTTCAAACCGATTATTGCGAATCAGTCCTATGCGAGAGTAGGTGGTACCCAAGTCAATTCCAACTGCACGCCCCATGATGTCTTATGTGAAAGTAGATATCTTGCGAGCAGACAGATTCCTTAAGTGGGTGATTCAAAGCTAGAGACGTTATTAATATGTAAGGCCCAAATCATAGTAGTAAGCCAGGAAATATAGGTGCTCCTGAATTCTTGCCCTTGGTCTTATAGGAAAGCTGTCTTGAAACTGATACCGGCAAGAATAAGATATCTCGCCAGTTCACCCGTCTTTTCAAGGATTTTTTTCAAGGATTTGAAGAATTTATTACTTGCTGTTTGCATTTTCTACCTTTTGCGAACTTTTTATGTTCGATACTATGTAGCAATTACTCCGCTAACGACAGTGGCTGGACGAATGCCTCGGATCTGCTGAAGTCTGCAGGACTTCATCATGTATGCACTACGCAAATAATTTTGCAGTATTAGCGTACAGTTTAGTGGGTCTCATACATGAGTATAGACGCAATAGACTCAAGTCCACGGTTATGGGACGAATCATTTGAAGTTCTTCATTACTAAAGGATCTGTCGAACCACAGGTAGCGACCTACGTAAAAAATCCCAGCAACAGCCTTCGGAAATTGGCTTCTTCACCATGCCGCAAACTTGCATTATTGCAACTGGTTTCAGTCAATGGCTGGCCGGATTTGGCGCAAAATTGCAGAATAAAGCATTAGCAGGTAGTATTTGGAATGAACAACCACTAATTCCACGATGTGGGTGTAGCTCTAATGACTATTGACAAAGAGTGGCTTTTAACGCTAAGAGTATGGAGGTCTTGATGATAAAAAAGTCATGGGATATTAGCTTTATCAATCTGACATCTTCTCTCGGGTTTGCGGCACGATCTCGGCATAATAGTTGCCCATGCTTGCTACCACATACTTTCCGTAATCGCGACCAAAGTAAAAATCTCTGTGCAGCCACTGATGACCGCGTTGCTAGAATCAGACGGCGTAAAGGCGCACTGTTAATTGATTTGCAGGCTAGCAACCCATCAAGTCGAGACAACATCTGCTTGGGCTTTTTGTGAAGTCGGCATCATACGTTCAAACAAGCCAAAATTGGAGACAGAAATGATTTCAGATATTCAAATTATTGCTCTAACAGCACGTAAGATGGGGTCCAATGCTTCACATAGGGTCATAGAGCGGTGTTGCAGTTTGTCACGTCATGGCCAAGAAGACATCAGGGTGTATTGTAACATCCCTAGTGGCTATCAGATACTGAGTGGTACGTGAATTATATCCTGAAGCACAATCACTTGATAAATTAATAAATCGAAATAGGTCCATGGTTTGAGAAGGCTTACTACTGTAACATCCTCCCAGTGATAGCCATCGAGCCCAAGTCAAATATAAGATCTGTTCCCACCCACCAAGCATTCTGTGTATCAGTCTAATCCTCAGTCAGAGATTGGCCTCCAAACACCAGAATTCATCAGCAACCATGAGTTTGAACCTCAGCCTCTTTGTCACTCATGTCCAAACCTCAAGCCATGAGTCGAGCTCCCCGGGGCAAACACCAATTGACCCTGCGGCTTCGATACAGTCGACTGCATCCCCGAAAGCATTGTCATTCCCGGATTTCCTCCGCAAATTCTACAGCACTGAAGATTGCACATCTTTACCATCGCCTTGTCATACAACTTCTCCAAGACGAGGTATGCTTCAGGAGTCTCCGCTGAAACACTCGGTGGATTTTCACAAACACCACTAGTTCATGATCGATTCGCCGAAGCCACTATTCTTCTGGCTATCCTTCACATTACTGTAGGCGTCTCTATACTGCCCTCGAATTATTTGATGCATGATGCTCAAAACACAGCACATGTACCTACTTTAGAGAAAATCTGCAGCGTTAATCAGTTAATCTGCCTGGCACACTCCTAGCGCTGCTCGTCTACACGAAGCATCAAGGGCCATGAGAGATCTGTTTTCTGGTCCCCAATAGTTGTCAACTGCTGTCAAGTATAGAGTTCCCGAAATGTATTCATACGTTGTAGCATATTAATTGGATAAAAACATCAATATCCCAAATTTCGGCCACAAAGGAAGAAAGTTGGTACACCTCAGGCCGCATAGTAAGGAGATTAGTGTAAAGGCAATCCTCGTGGAGAACCAATGGTCTTTCGCATTTTTAATGACTTCGTTCAGTCTCATGGGGTTTTTTCTACTTAGTCAAGGAGTGGATGGACAGTGACCTTGGTTTCTGCTTTACTTTCTGGGACTCCCCGGCGCATTTGCCAACCTCGGACGAAATGATCCCCCCCATTGTATACAACACAGGCCCAGACGAAGTATCGCTTCTTGCTTTGTTGAAACTGACTGCAAATGCAATATGACCAAGCAAGACTATTGACTGATACGGTTCTCTGGAACAACGGCTCTTTATTGGGTCGCCATTCCTGCTTCAGTCGCTTTCTAGCTTACAAGGGTCTTTATAAAAATGAAAGAAACTTTTTTCACAACTGAAAACCGGCTTTGGGGAGATCTGGAGGCGAGAGTACTTCGCTAGGGGTCGGTTGGATTATGAGGCTGGCAACCATCCAAGACTGAGCATGAAGCTAATTTTGTCATGATCTACATCGGCCGGGTTGCTATTTGGAGACAATGACCACAGCAGGACTAAAGAGACCGTTAGAAATTAAGTTTTTGTGGATGAGAGCTTGCTGTGTCAAGTCAGAGGAATTAATCGCTATGACGCACCAATTTGGGTCATTTGGGCTTGTTTGTCGTTTGATTTGATGTACTTTCGTAGGTGCATTACGCAATGCAGGTGCCCATTTGATGTTTGGTAGAGCGTGGAAGTGCGCCGTTATCCAAAAATTGGTTGGTCTGGCAGGTCAATTTTTTCATGGTTCAAATATGTTCGCCTTGACCGGAGTAAGGTAATGCTTGCGTGGAGGCTGGAGCTGAGCCAGTCTTTGTCTCATTCCCTCCAGATTATTTGCAGGCTTTGTTAAATATTAGAAGTATGCGCCTTTCCCTGAGTCATAATAGCAAGATTGTGGCCAACGCCGATGATTTCCTGCTTTCCAATCATGCCAGGGACGATCCTAGTTTGTGACTTTGTCTGAATTTGACCAATTTAACTCCAATCTTGATCTCGAGCTTCTGCTCGACATTTATCGTACTATAGCTCTACAGTCGACGTCTGATTTACATGTTAGTCACGCTGGCCGTTTTATTTTCGCGGTCCTCCTCGTCTGGTCTTCTGCTGGCATGTAAGCCTGCCTCACTTCCCGCTTCTTCATACCCTTTTGCGTGCTCAGCTATTGTAACATAGATTTCATCATGGAAAAGTACCAGGAGATCAAGAAAATAGGAGAAGGTATGTGTTGCTACCACAATGACTGACATTGACACCTCTTCAACTTACGTCCTAGGAGCTTACGGCATCGTCTACAAGGCTCGTAAGCTTGGCCATCCAAGCGCTGTTGTGGCTCTAAAGAAGATTCAGTTGGAATTTGAAGATGATGGTATTCCTAGCACTACGGTCCGCGAGATAAGCCTCCTGAAGGAAATGCGCGACCCCAATATTGTCCAACTGCTGGACGTCATCCATGTTGACAACCGTCTACTCTGCCTCGTCTTAGAGTTCTTGGATATGGACCTCAAGAAATACATGGAGAAACTCCCACACAATCCACGTCGGGTGGAGCAAGGCTCTCACGGATGGGTCCATGTCGACGAGAGGCGCGGGTCTGGACAATGCCACGATCAAAAAATTCATGGCCCACCTGGTAGAGGGTGTCCGGTACTGCCACGATCATGGAATCCTCCACCGCGATCTAAAGCCACAGAACTTGCTTATTGACCGTCAGGGAAACCTGAAGCTGGCCGACTTTGGCTTGGCACGAGCATTCGGTGGCCCGTTGCGCACATACACCCACGAGGTAGGAGCCCAGCTCTGCCAACGCACTGCCTCAACATAATAACACATGTTTCACAGGTAGCTACGCTGTGGTACCGATCTCCTGAACTTCTGCTCGGAGACCGTCAGTACTCTACTGGTGTCGATATGTGGTCAATTGGGGCTATCTTTGCCGAGATGTGCACTCGCGTGCCGCTGTTTCCCGGATGTTCCGAATTGGACGAGATTTTCAAGATATTCCGGTGGGTGTATCGTATCACCTTTGCGAAGTCTTCTTTACTCATACAATGATTTCCCTTTGCAGCCTACTCGGTACTCCCGACGAGGAGACTTGGCCAGGAATAACCTCGTTCCCTGAATACAAGGCTAGCTTCCCCAAATGGGAGCGCCTCAGCACGCCCATTGTGCTTGGACTCGAACCAGCCGGCTTAGAGATGCTGGCGGCTCTACTGGAGTATGACCCGACTCATCGGCTTTCTGCGGAACAGGCCTGTTTTCATCCTTACTTTCCAAATGGCAGCTCGTACTACACGAGTCCTCCCAGCGCAATACATATTACTAGATTCTGTTCATGATGCTAGTTCTTCGATGAGTGGTAGCGTGGCGGGGAAGAGTCTTGCGTTCCGAGCCAGCGTAGCCTGCTTGGCTCCTGCTGATGTTAAAGTTTGGTCATTCCTATCTGAATAAAGCTACGGTGATAAGAAAAAGACCTTGGGGCTCACATTCCAGGACGCTGTCATCCACACGCTATGGCACCCCATCAACGTATTCTGATTTCACTTTGACGTAACGTTTACGTCCCGATCATCTTTTGTTTGCATTATGGGCATGACAGCTTTGACATGGATACATTCGTTTACTATGCTATCAAAGCCCTGAGAAGGAATGATATTTTGGCGTACAACAGTCGCTGATAAATCCCAGAGCCATTTTTCGCCTCTTGGCCCCTTTTAAAGTCCTAGCCTATTTTAAGTTATATTATAGTGGAACTCCCAAATTAGGTCGATACTAAAAAATTGGAAAATCAAAATTTGGCATCTTTTATCTCTCGCGTTTTCTCAAACTGGACACAACACGACGTTACCTTCAAAGACTAACTAAGTGGTGGCTGGAGCGTCTGGGAAAGGCAACCGCCGTATGTTTGCACTTGACGCATGGGCGGTAGCTAACAGTAGTCCCGGGAAGATCAACTTTGAATCTTTCAAGAGTACTGGGACATTGAACTAATCTGTTTATGAATATCCTGTACGTCAAGCGCCGAGATATGTCTCATGTGGTTGAGCCCTTGATATCATTGACAAAGGAAGGGAAAAGCCACTCAATTCGATTTTGCGCTAAAGATAATCCCCTGGCTTTGTGGAGCGTTAGCGAGCTACAGAGCGCGCTCAGGGCATCGTTACACAGCAAGGCTCTAACCGAACATTAGAGCCACTGAAAGAACAGCATAGCAACTTCTTCACTCAGGTCCACCCTGCACAAGTTGAAGATAAACTTCAGTATATAAGCAAACAACTTCCTGTGCTTTCCAGTAGGAGGGAAATGCTCCAACTACTGCAAAATAGATGTGGTTGGAAAAAGCCATTATTCCAAACTCAAGCACCCCAAAGCTCAAGTAACCCAAGCCATACCTACGGTACGTAGGCCATGGGCGAAACTCCCAACTACTCAGAGTAAGGAGCTTTAAGGTTTTCACAAGGGCGGATAGTGTTGAAAAGCGACCTAGGTGAACTCCATATCTTATCCACAATCAATGCCAGATAGAAGCTTACCGGCACTGCGCAAAGATCAACTAAATAATATATCTGCTCTTTGGGGTTTTTGCTTTTTTCAAAGTGGTAACGCGATGAAAGGGGTGTTGGTATGTAGCCAAGCTTCTCTCGAACGTTACATAGTAAAATATGCTTATGCTGGTTAAACGAGGCTAGGCATTCGTTCTAGCTGGTATCGTCGATCATTGTGTCTCTGAAGTATCTCACACAATTGAAAAACAATTTACAGTACCACGATACCGTCATAAGAACAAGGTAGGGGGGTTGATGATTCAAACTTTTGCATGCTTATTTGCTCCGTCCGCGGTTATTACTCTTGGTCATTCAAACGAGCTCGTAATCTAGGCTCAGGGTGACATCGACTTTCCAATCAAGTAGCTTTTTTGAATCCCCTCAAGTCATTCTGAACAAATGAGATACGATTATCCTAATTCCATTCCAAATTTAGGATTTGATTCACTTTCTTCGTCGATTCAACGGCCTATGTTTCCACTCTTTCATCTTACGAGGTGGATCCAACAAAAATGCATTGCTTGACGTGATTCATAATGACTGATACCAGAGGGCAAAAGTGCTTTAGTTCACACGCCTTTCTGACCTAGCTCTTGTATTGGAAGAAACATTGATACAGAAGAGCTAATCAATGATGACTGAGGTGATTATGGCGATCCATTTGTTCAAAGTGTTGCCGATCCGGCCCCGTAAGTGGGCAAACCATATGGTGGAAGGAAAGGCTAGACTTCAATTACTGCCCTTGAGTTCTGCGAGCAAGCATAGAGCTCGAGGTTGTCTCTCGTGGGTCAATATCGTGACGCATTCATGAACTCAATTCCGTTGTCTGCCGATTGAACTATCTCTATTTCTAATAGTCATTTGAAGCCTGATTTGCTTAGACTTCAATCTGACTGAAATAATTTGATACCAATGAATGACCCTTCCGCGCTTATCTGCCTTCTCTCATTATCTCTATACCCCGAGCTCTCCCTGCTCAAATGCGAGTTAGCCCAACTTGTCAGACAGCTTGAACATTTGGATTTTCTTGTGTTTTGTTTTCTTGGCAATTATCAAATCCTTGGGCTTATCTTTGTAGAATATAATCACCTGCGCCTCTTCGAAAGAGGCACTGGGTCTATTCGTGATGTCATAAGGTACAATGAGCGAGCATATTGCATCTTTCTTCAGCCGAACAGCTGTATTGAACCAATATCTCGAGGACCGATTATCCGGTCCAAGCTTGGACATCCCGTAGATGTGAACGAGTGATACATCGTGCTTCTGGTCCTCATTATATACATCAAAGCAGACCCGAAGAAGCATAATCTGTGTAATCGTTTCGTTCTGGCACCTCTTCAGGCCACTTAGGAAGTAAATGGCCGCAGTAAAAGTGTCTCCGATACAAAACATTAACTGCGTACTGTTTTGTAGGCATCTGTCCATCAATAATGGACGTGTATCTTTGTTCAGAACTCGAGCTAACATTATTGCGTATTCGAGGTACGTTTCGTGACTTTGTCTAGACCTTTCAGAGCTGTGACCAGCTAGTAAGGCAATGAAATAAAGAACAATACAGCGAACTTGGGTATTTTTCAGTTCCGGGCGTCGTTCTAGACATTCAACCAAAGAATGAAGGATGGTTCTCATGACTAAATAAGTACCTTGATCTGGATACCACGGATGGTTGCTGTTCGATACTTCATCTGTAACGTGAAACAAATTATTCAGAAGATCGTTCAATTCAGAGATAGCTTGAGCGAGTTTTCGAGCTTCTTCAGTCACTTCTCGGGCAGATAGGTGCCGAAGGAGGCTTGGTTGAGATATGCCCTCCGTAGTCTTAAACATCTATGGCTTTTTGTAAAATTGACCATTGAGCAGAAAAATAAAGATTCAGAGATACTCATATTACCTTTTTCTATTTTGTGTTATAGCTTCTTCGTCATTGAATAATGCAATGGTGCTCGGGTCAAGAACTTCGGGGCGATGAAATGCCGCTATATATGTGAAGCTGAACCACTCATTTCGATCGACTGACATGACTAATCTGTAGTATATACGTGCTATATTTAATCCCTGGCCAAAAAAACCCAACCATGCGAACAAGGAATAGGACGAAAGGCTCGATCATGCTGTCGGCATAAAATTTGCGGCGAAACAAAAGATAGTGGTGGATTTTGCTCAATATGTCTTGACAAACATGGGGCCTAATTTATCCTTCAGTCGGACTGCTCAAATGCCGCCATATGTTGAAATTTGGGATAACGGGATAAAATTTGACCACTGATCCAAGTTGGTCCTTCCGCAGCTTTTGGATGTGGTCCCCCGACGAGGTCCTCGAACTTGGCTCTATGCTGCTATACATGACTCTTGGATTCATGCAAACACGCGTTAGGTCTTCCGATAGCACAGACTCTCAATATGACACGAAGCATGTTTTCCTTTTTGAATTGACTCTATATTCCGTCTGCGGGCTTCACTGTAGTTGAACCAAACATCGTCCAGGTAAATTGAAGTAAGAACAGACAAGGTATGATACTATCTCCATTCTCATAGCCTGAATCCAGGCCAAACTTATTCTAACAAGGGGTACATGGGCCTCAGTATAGGCCAAATAACTTCTCTTCCCTAACATCCTATAGATCTAGGGCAAGCTAGTTTGCAGCAGGGACACTCGAGCCAACGCTAACCTCGGGGCACATGAGCCCCAATCTGAGCCAAATATCCTCTCTCCTCCCTTTGAGACCTTAGATCTAGGCCAAGCTCGTTTGAACCAGAGATACTCAGATACAGGCCGACTTTAGTGTATCAGATTGCGCGAAGAACATTCGTCTTACCATGAAAAAAATCCTGCATGCTTTCCGATATAATTAAAAACTATTTCTCGCGAAGCTTTTTCAAACGAACATGATGGGCCAACGACGCTAAGGAGCATCCGAGACAACACCAGCCAGAGCCAGACATTGATGCACGTAGCTACCTCGAAGGGATGCAGTGTGATATTGAACAGTATTCTGGGGCATCTACGACTTTTATCCGGAAATGGAAGGCTTGTGAAAGAGATGAAAAAGTTCCGTGAGAGCCATCAGGATACACCTTCAATTTCTGCCGTAATACCTGGCAGATTTATAACCGCGGCTCTTTTGTTTGATTCTGGCACTGATACTGTATCAACACACGTAAGGAGGATGACGAAAACCTTTATTCAAGGCTATCAAGTCATAGGATTATGATATAGTAAAAGTCTTCGATCTGAGTCACATTGAAAACGATATCATGCAAAAGGTAGAGGTTCGACTTCAGTGGGTAAGGGAGATGATGGAGGCTGGACGGCCTTTGATTATTCTGAGAGGATTCTGGTCAACTTTCCTATCTTATTCTTGTGTGAAGAGCTCAAAAAAGGTGGCATGGCAAATGATTTTTCCCTCCGCAACCCCTGACAGCGCGTAGTAAACCTCCTCCAGAAGACGCGTCAAGGAAGGGCAAAAGGATGACGCCAAATTATCGTAAGAAAGTAATTGGTTATATAATTAAAGGTAGCACTGCTATCTGTCCCTTCCAATTCAAGCAACATTATCACCAGCTCAGGGCGTATTTCATTGTGACCATTCTTCCCATCCCCACTTGGGTTTCGTGTCAATTCTATGATCCCAACCATGGCCCATAACCAAGCATTTATTCGGGTAACCCTTCATTATATTGAAAGAAAGATGCATTTACAGTAAACACCCACCAAGTCAAAAGTTCTGTTGTCCTCACTCTCTACTGCGCACAGGGATTAACGAGGTGAGCAGAGTAACTGTGCCGAAACATTGTATTGGGCAACAACCAGTGAATTTTCACCGCAGTAAGATCTCGTTTTTATTGAATTTTTGGAATCAGATTTAAAATTTCTGCTTTTTGTTGTAGCTTAATCTCTATCATTAATTCCATCACTTACATGAGCTTTGACAACGTCCAAACCTAGCCTAACGACATCTCATCGAAAGAGAAATCCTTAAGTGGGTTTTCGAG